GGATTTTGACCAAATATATTCAATCTTGATTTTTGTGAAATGTTGCAACAAGATGTTAATTTTTTGGTGAAAAATTACAGTTTTGGACATATAAGGTAATAAAAAATATTTTAAAAAAAATACCTTAAAGTAACTACAAATGAGCATGTAAAGCAAATATCTTTAAAAGAAAGTCTGTTTGGTGCATGCCCCCGATGTCTCACCTTTTTTCCCCCTTACCTGTTTGCATCTCTGGTCTCAGGTCAGCTGTGACCAAGTGAAAATGCATGTACCCTGTGTTTATCAGTATCCTTATGTTCATTGGGTAAAAAGAAAAACTAAATAAAGTAAACATTTATTTGGCTGATTCCCCAAGGTTTCTATAGATATCGCGATATATCGATATTGTGAATTCTTTTGACCACAATAACCGTAGTGTGAAAAATCTAATATCAACATAAATATATAACCAGTTTACCTGATTCAATGTGATGGCTGAGCCTGTTTCTGAGATAACAACATGCCAATCCGTGGTTGGATTTCCGACACGGCTAATCGTAAATCATCTTACACTGTCAATAAGCGTGACCAGGGTTGCCAGGTTTTTACAACAAAACCTAAAAGTAAAAAAAAACTCAAAACTAGCCCAAAACGACAAAACGCGGCAAGTGTTAAAGTAGCCCAAAATAGCCCGGGAAAACCGTGGACTTGGCAACACTGAGCGTGACTGATACTCGAGCCAACTCTGCTCTAACTGTCGACTAGCAGTGGGAGTCAGATTGCCCCCTAGTGGATGGCTAAAGATTTGTTAACTCATATTCATAAATTCTCAAGAGAGTCTCTTTTTTAATGATTTTTTTTTTTCATTTTTATTTTATTTAACGTTTTGGTCATTTTGTTGTATGTTTGTCACTTTTAGTAGTTTTTGTTTATATATATATATATATATATATATACACATACACTGCTGCTCAAAATTTGGGGTCAGGGGTAAGATTTTATTTTGTTAGAAAGGAATTTCATTCATTCATTCATTCATTCATTAGTTAGTTAGTTAGTTAGTATTTTTCATTCAGCAAGGATGCATTCAACAGATCAAAAGTTACAGTATTGTCACTAAAAAAGTATTGAAACGTATTTAAAATAAATGCTGTTCTCAGGTTAATTTTTTAGTATACCAGAAAAAAAAGCATCACGTTTCCACAAAAATATTGGGCAGCACAACTGTTATCAACATTGATAATAACCAAATCTACATATTAGAAAGATTTCTGAAGGATCATGTGACACTGAAGACTGGAGTAATGATGCTGAAAATACAGCTTTGCCATCACAGGAATTAACCATATTTTAAAAATATATTACAATATTACTGTGTGTGTGTTTCTGATCAAATAAATGCAGTCTTACTGAGAATAAGAGACTTCTTTCAAAAAAATAAATTATTAAATGTATATTTATATATATGGAAATAGCTAGAAATGTCAGAAAATGATTTCTTTCTGCAAATGGCCAAACAATAAAAGAGGTTGAGTACTGACTGCATGACAGAATGAGTCCTGAAACCTTTAAACTCTTGTCTCTTCATGCTGACAAAACATATGAAATAAATAACCTAGCGGCTCATAGTGGCAGTTGTTACCTGACATTCTTAGGAGACAGGTAATGTCAGAGTAATGATGCTGAAAATACAGCTTTGCCATCACAGGAATTAACCATATTTTAAAAATATATTACAATATTACTGTGTGTGTGTTTCTGATCAAATAAATGCAGTCTTACTGAGAATAAGAGACTTCTTTCAAAAAAATAAATTATTAAATGTATATTTATATATATGGAAATAGCTAGAAATGTCAGAAAATGATTTCTTTCTGCAAATGGCCAAACAATAAAAGAGGTTGAGTACTGACTGCATGACAGAATGAGTCCTGAAACCTTTAAACTCTTGTCTCTTCATGCTGACAAAACATATGAAATAAATAACCTAGCGGCTCATAGTGGCAGTTGTTACCTGACATTCTTAGGAGACAGGTAATGTCAGCGCGTATGTGTCTGTGTGTGTGTGTGTGTGTGTGTGTGTGCACGCATGCAAACAAACATTTGAGCATCTGATGAAACGTGAGCTTTCTGTCATGCATAAACAGGGATCCTGTGACATGTTGCTTGACATGCCTGCGGAAATTTAGCATATAAAATGCACTGCTGCTTTTGAATATTTCACAAGGGTATACAACACATTTTGTTCTCTCAGTTTCAGTGTCAAGTGTATACTGCACTTTCGAATAAAGCAGTATAGGGAATATACAGTAATCATAGATAATATGATTATCTTTAGAGTAAAAACAATAAATCAATAATACAATGAATCCCTGCAATTTCCAAAGCTTATTTTCATCCATAAGAAGAGCATAGCAGAGTATTGAACATGGAATGAAAACCAGTGAACATTTCTACACATAACACAATCATTATGAAACATGAAAATCTCATGAATGCATCATACGGTTCATATGGAAACAGTTAATCTACTCGAATCTAATCATATTCAAAATAAACACTCTAAACCAGGAGTTTTTACTAAACTAAGACCTTTTATTGTGACCCCCTTCTGAAAATATAAAAGTGGCCTATATTTTCACATATAAAAACACATTTATTAATATATTAAGGGGGAATATGCTTTATAGACTCACTTTAAAAACACCAAATATTTCATTTGAATGTTTTAAATATACTTATTATACTTTTTTATTATATTTGTTACCCAATTAAATGTTTTTATTGTTGTTATTGTATTGTTAATTATTTAGAATATAAATGTTAATATATTATTATTAAATACTAATATTCTAAATAATAATATAATAAAATCTAATGATTAATCTCATTATTACTGACCTGTTTTGACCAGAAGAATGAAATATTACTATTAACAAATGTGAATTTAATGTTTTTTTTTATGTTCTTATATTTTTATGTTTTTTTTTTTTCTTTTTCTGTGAACCATTAGCACCACTTTGCAACCCCGAGTTTGAAAACCTCTGCTCAAAGTGAGTGACTCTTCACTCCGGCGTTCAGTTGCACATGCACACATAAGCAGTAGCAAACTTCAGTCCTCATGGGAGAGAATTATCTAGTTAGGTCGCTACTGTAGCTGTAAACATGTTGACAGTTTAACTAACACCTCTCATCAAGGTTCTTATCAAACTGTTGCTCTGTCTTAAAATGAGTTCATCCGAAAGAAAACCAACTCTACAGGACATCAAATTAAGGCTAATGCTCGCTATGGCACCCCTTGCGGCAACACAGCGAAACCAAAATTGAGCTTGCGTAACCGGAAGCATAAGATCAAGTCTCATCCAAATAAAACCAAATCAAAACCAATGTGCTCTAACCGATGACCACAGCAGACCGTAGAAGAAGACATCGTCAGTGACACTTTAAACGGCCAGAGCGCTGGAAATAAAATGGTCGTAAATATAAAGAAAGGCTCATTTACCCGAGGTGCAACGGGACACCTTTCACCATTTAATCAGTCAGTCACCCAAGAGTGATGTCCCTAATATCATGATTCCACCATTTCTCTGTTTAACATAATTAAAATGTCCGCTGCCGGGGCCATAAACGGGAGGAGAGGATACTGTAATTCTGCCGTAAAGCCGCAGAGCGTGAAAAAAAAACTTACCGAGTACCCTCGTCCTGACAGAGAGTGAGTGGAGCTCTGGGGGAGAGAGAGAGAGAGAGAGAGAGATGCAGAGAGTGCTTCAAACTACTTTAGGTTTGATTTAGCTGCAGCTGGCTGCTCCTCATTTCACTAAAAGGATTGAGCAAATACAAAATGGGCCTCCAAATGAAATTTTCAGAATGTATTTCCTGACTTTGACCGTCTGCTCTGGACTGAGGTGATGGCGGTGGAGCTTCTGAGAAAAGATCTTACGACAACATCTTGAGCTGAGCCGCTCTATGAGCTTATGAGGAAAAAATAACAGTGATAAGTTTTTAACAAAAATAATAACATTTTAAATATATTTCCATAAAATAATTGTTCTCAGCAGCACAAAACTGTTTATAATTAATTTGGGGCAATGCAGTAAGCTAACAATGTTACAGGGACAAAAAGAAAAATCTCAAAGTGAGTGACTCTTCACTCCGGCGTTCAGTTGCACATGCACACATAAGCAGTAGCAAACTTCAGTCCTCATGGGAGAGAATTATCTAGTTAGGTCGCTACTGTAGCTGTAAACATGTTGACAGTTTAACTAACACCTCTCATCAAGGTTCTTATCAAACTGTTGCTCTGTCTTAAAATGAGTTCATCCGAAAGAAAACCAACTCTACAGGACATCAAATTAAGGCTAATGCTCGCTATGGCACCCCTTGCGGCAACACAGCGAAACCAAAATTGAGCTTGCGTAACCGGAAGCATAAGATCAAGTCTCATCCAAATAAAACCAAATCAAAACCAATGTGCTCTAACCGATGACCACAGCAGACCGTAGAAGAAGACATCGTCAGTGACACTTTAAACGGCCAGAGCGCTGGAAATAAAATGGTCGTAAATATAAAGAAAGGCTCATTTACCCGAGGTGCAACGGGACACCTTTCACCATTTAATCAGTCAGTCACCCAAGAGTGATGTCCCTAATATCATGATTCCACCATTTCTCTGTTTAACATAATTAAAATGTCCGCTGCCGGGGCCATAAACGGGAGGAGAGGATACTGTAATTCTGCCGTAAAGCCGCAGAGCGTGAAAATGTCACTTACCGAGTACCCTCGTCCTGACAGAGAGTGAGTGGAGCTCTGGGGGAGAGAGAGAGAGAGAGAGAGAGACAAAGAGAGAGAGAACAACGATGACCTTTGAGGGATACTATGAGATGACAGAGACATGATGAAGCTCTAGCACTTTAATATCAATATTCACATTAACCTTTTTCCCACCCTTCGTTCCTATCGTTCGCCTAATGACATTCCTGATTCCTTTCTCTCTCTCTCTCTTTCTCTCTCTCTCTTCAACACCTGCTAAAGCACATGACTCATATGACTCAAGCACAATACATACAGCCCTGGACAAACTGGCCGTCAAGGCCTTTTCTCTTCGGCGAGAATTTGGGTTTATCTTAAAATGAGCTTTCAGCAGGACACCTACATTGTTAATTTAGAAAAACACCTGGTTTCCTCCTGTGATTTTCTATGCATTTACTAAGGTCTTCTGAGTGCTTGCTCGGGCATTGCTATGTGGATTCTAAGGCAATATAGCCGGTTTCTATGATGTTCTGGGTAGTTGCTTAAATCTGGTCCATAGATATCTCACTTCTTTCACCTGGTAATGGCACATTTTTCTTTAAAAAGTCATATGATTTCATCACCAAGAAAGCACAAATGGTTTAATACGAATCTTAATATGTGAACAAACCATCTAAACCCTGTGAGCATTAATAGCCTTAGCCACTAATAACATTTTACGCTAACGTGTTTCAAAATCTGAAGCCGTTCAGTTGTGTACAGCGCATTCAACGAAACATTCCAGCATTAACTCGGTAATGCATAGTCAAATGATTCTTGTATAGCAGGTTACATCATTTTCCAGAACTGTGTCATAGATTGTCATCATAAAGGAAATAACATTTCAGATCAGAACCAAGACACCCAGCGTTTGCATCCATTTTCTGTTGCATCAGCCCTTGTCAGTTTATAGTAAATGAGGGGGAACCAAAGCATTTTATTTTGCCGTGACAGATTCCGTGTCAGATTCAGATTCATATAAGGGCCTTTAAAACAGTTCAGGGCTGCCTGAGCGAGTCAACAACAACTAGAAGTTACACGGAGTGCTAAAGCTATAGTTTCAGACTCCAGAAGGTCTAACAATTCAACAATCCAAACAAATCACACTTGTCTACAGCATGAATGTCCCTAAAACTATAGATAGTTAACACTGGTAATTTAACCGTCCAGAATCTGCAACGCTAACACAAAGGTTACGTTGCAAAAAGTAACATAAGAACTTTATGACAGTTACTTATCTTCTAATTATGCATTCAAGCAAGAAAGCTAGGAAAACCGCAGGCTACTGCCTTACCCGAACCCACAGTTTGGGACGATGCTAGGAAAGAAAAACACTTGCTCCTTACAAATAAACTAGTCACTAAGTCTGAGCTCTGCAAGTCTGTAACTCAATTGCCCGGTTAACAGATGAGGCTTAAGCCTAGTCCCAGACTAAAATGCATGTTTGAGCTGTCTTAACTGAATCAACTTGCACAGACATATCTCGAAATATTTCAGTGGCACTAATGTGTTTCACGATTGTTTTCTTTAAGGCAAAAAACAAATACTTAAATCTCTTAATTTAACCAAAGCGAATCCTGGTTTAATCTAAGCCATGCCTGTGAAACCAGGCCTATATGTTTTGCCATTAATTCTCTGAAAGACATATATAAATATATTTTTGGTCACACTTTATTTTAAGGTCCAATTCTCGCTATTAACATACCATTAACTACAACTTTTGCCTCAATAAACTCCCAATTTGCTGCTTATTGATAGGTAGTAAGGTAGTTGTTAAATTTAGGTATTGGATCTAGAATATGCTCATGCAGAATATGTGCTTTATAAGAACTAATAAACAGCCAATATGTTAATAATATGCATGCTAATAAGACAATTATAATAGTGAGAATCGGTCCCTATACTAAAGTGTTACATATTTTTTAAGTTAACAAGACTTTCCGAAGCACAAAGTTTTCAGTTGTGTCCATAAAATAATGAAATAATGTGCAGAAATTCTGACCGCATACATTTCTTTCATGTTTTCAGAACCTTTATCTGAGACTGCTGTGCCATCATTTGAATGAGTTACCACTTTTTTATACACTGGCCTATTACTGTGGTATCATGGACTTTAGATTTGCCTGCCCAATACTTTGCATTAACAAAAAAAAAAACTTTTTGTTTTTAGTCACTTTACATGTTGGTCAGGCCGCCTTCCTGTCAACATGGGCAGTAAAGCCTAAACTAATTTGAGTATTTACAAGGCAGGGACATTTCTACAAGTGGACATACATGTTAAATTCAACATGAAATGAAAATTCCGTCTATTTTCTAAATGCATGTTATTGATGTTATATCTCACACACACTAAACTTCAATTTCATCAAAGCATCTGCTAAATGCATAAATGTAAATAATGAAGTTCACTGATACATTACTGTACTACCAGGCCACTGCTGATTCTCAACTTTAGCTGAAATATTGCAAATGAAACAAATAACCGCTCTGCAACTGCAGTACTACATTCCACAGACTACTAAAACCTTTGGAAACAAGTAAAGCCATAATCCACATAAACCACACTAGCTTGAGTGAGAGAACCACAGCCTGTTACAGACATCTCCAGACTAGACGGCAACTTCCACATCCCAGCACCACAGACTAGACCTGAATACCAATCTCCTGCTCTCTCTCTCCCGTCATTTTCCCCCTCTTTTTGCCTCTTTCCTCTGTGCGATTGGCAATTTCTGCCTCTGTCTCAGGGGGTGACTTTTCTGCAAGACCAATTTTGTCCTTGCACAGAATTCAGTCACACACACACACACCTGCTACAGGGCTTTAACCCTCATCAGTTCCTCTGTTCTCGCTCACACTCAGTACAAACTCCCACTGTGACAATTAGAGAAGTGTTCCTGAGAAAACCCGGAAAGGCGGCACTGCAGGATCCAAATACTTTTCCAGAACCCCTCTCTCTCTCTCTCTCACAGAAAAGCGAGGAGGCGTAACGTACGGAGAAGAGCGAGTGGGTGCAAGGCTCACTGGGAGGCCAAAAAATTTGTAGAGTTAGCCTTACAATGCCCCGGTTCATTCACATTGCCACATTCAGAGTTGAAAGGGAGACTTATTTAAATGATAATGAGGAACAATACGTTGGATTTAGTGCTGCAGCGAGAAGAGAAAAAATCCATTACACCATCCGCGGTTCATAAGCCATGGGGCTGGGCCACATCTAAACACGCTCCCTTAAAAGCCATTATACGCAGCACTCAATGGATTTGCCGAGCACTTAGGACTTCAAAAAAGGATTAGCGAGAGAATGAGAGAAAAGCGAACGTGAAATGGGGAGAAACGGGGCGGTAGGGCGAGCGGGACAGCAGCTGTTTTGGGGTTAACCAAACAACCTCTTGAAAAAGAAATGGGGGCGAACCCGCTTCTTAATCCAAACCCATTTTCGCACTAACTCGACCCCCCCTCTCGCATCACTCTACACTTCTTGGGCCCCGACAGATTTGGTGACAAGTGGGAGGGGGCGGATTGTTTAGCTACGGACCAGACTATTGGTTAAGATAGGGCCGCGGATGAAAAGAAGCCAATCGGGACGCAACGGAGCGTGAAGTCAGTGAGCGAACAGACGGCTGAGATGTGGTAGGTGTTGCCGGTGTTGTGCCCAATTCTGACCCCCGCCAGATTACAACCCCCCTAGTATTGGTAGGGTTAGGTGTGGGGGAGGGGTTAGGATTAGGGGTGGAGTTAGGATTAGGCAATCAGGTAGCGATTTCAACGAGAGGGGGTAATAATTTGGCAAGGGTCGAAAATGGGCACAACACCGGGTCTCTGTGGGCAGCTTCTGTGACATGGTTCGAAACTATCAGAGTCATTACCTTCGGGCCAGATCCACTCCAAACTCGTTCACATCCTCGCTGTTCAGAAACACAAAAGCTTCTGTGGTCAGATTAGACATAGCATGTTTATTTGGATGCAAATGACAATGAGATTAAAAGGGACAAATACAATTCTACAGTGATTAATGAAACAAGACTTCTGATCTTCTCCTGTCGAATAATAAAATTGGATAAAAAAAATGTGAAAAAAATTTTGAAAAAAGTTGCATACATGTCGAACTACACCTTTTTTTATTTTTTTTATTTTATTGTACAATAATTTTTATATTATTGTAATTTAAAATGAATCATTTTAAAATGTAATTTACAGTATTCCTGGATTCCAAAGCCGAATTTTCCACATGAACCACATTCCACAGTGCCACATGATCCTTCAGAAATCATTCTAATATGCTGATTTGCTGCTCAAGAAACATTTATCATCATTATCAATGTTGAAATCAGTTGTTCTGCTTACTATTTAGGTAGAAACCAAGATTTTTAAGGACTTTTTAATGAACACAAAGCTTGCAAGAGCATTTATTTGAGATAACTATTATAAATGTCATTTTTGATCAATAAAATGTGCTCTTGCATATATTGGTATCTTAAAGGGGTCATCGGATGCCCATTTTCCACAAGTTGATATGATTATTTAGGGTCTTAATGAAAAGTCTGTAACATAGTTTGGTTAAAATTTCTCAATGGTAGTGTAAAAAACACCTTTTTTACCTTGTCCAAAACAGCTCTTTTCAGAGCAAGTCGTTTTGTATCATTTTCCTTTAAATGTTAATGAGCTCTGCTGACCCCGCCCCTCTCTTCC